AAGATTTGATTCTGGAGGAAACTTCTCATGGTTGATTCTTCAGAAGCATCTAATTGAATAACATCTGAGGTAGCTTCTGTTTCTTCAGCTGGAACACAATTTTCTTTTGATTCTCTAACGTCTTCATTAATCACAACAACATCCATCTGATTCATGAGAGATATCCTCAAAGCACAAATATTCTGATCTTCATGAGTATAGAGCATCTAGCTTCCATCAGGCTACATCTTCTGAATTTGTCTACTTGAAACAAATACAGATCCAATCTAGATGCAATTATCATCAAACTCAGATGTATCAAGAGACACAGTCTGACTGACAATTTTGCTCTTACAATGCTGAGCTAACTTGTAAAGAGTTAGATCAACAGAGTTTAACAGAAACATCTGCTCTTAACAAAGAATATCTACTGACTTATTCAGATTGAATAACACCAGAGATTTAAATCCTTTTTACCTCAGACAGAATGACTACTGTCCTTGTATCTTTCCATACAACTTTATTTCTCAAAACATTCATTAAGAATTTCTGAAAAAATAATGCCTGAAAACATCTGATCAATTACAGTTTGTTCAACTGAGATAACATCTCAAGTTAACAGAACTTAATTGTTCATGCTTCTTCAAATCAGATCTTCTGAATTTCATCATATCCAGATGAGTTGATGAACATTGCCTTTCTTGAAACCTCTGCAGAACTCTTTGATGCTTCTTTAAGAATAGCAACTTTCAAATGCTTTGAATCTGAAGAATCATTTCTTCCAGATTTGAACATTTTTCTGAACAGCTCTTTTCTGCAGACTTTCATCTGGCGTTCTGGTGAATAGGATTCATTTGCCAACAATATATCTTTTCTTACTTAAGATAAATCCCAATGAGTTGTCATGAGAAAGTCAAGTGTGGACTAATCCGTTTCTTGAAAACATCCCATACTCAAATAGAATTAATCTTTAGAAGTCAAGAATTATTGCTTGCTTAAGATTTAATCTTTGAGCAAATACGTTGTAAATCCAAACGTATTTTCAGATCAGCATTCAACAGATATATCTTCTTATCTGATAAATCTATCTTGTCAGTTGATTCTTCATTCTTCTTTCAGAATCTTCTGGAGGAGATTTGTTATTGAAGGCTTCAACACTTCAAACTTCAAAGAATCAGTGACTTGCTCAAGTAACCCAATAGATTACAATTTTAGAACTCATCATCCTCAAAAACTGATGTGAGGCTGAAATTGTAAGAACGGTGAAAAATCCCCAAAAGTATTTCTTCACATAGCCTATAGATCTTTATCTGACACTGTTAGGTGTTTGATATTCATCAATAACAGAACGGGAGCTCTGATACCAATTGAAGGTGAGAAATAAACACAAGAAAGGGGGGGATTGAATTGGGTTTATGCCTAAATAAAAACTTTTTCCTTTTCTTGTCTTCTTCTTCACTTGATGCTTTATGCGCTTATATTAAATACATTGCGGAAGCATAAATAATAAAGTATAAGTAAATAACACATCATATATCCTGGTTCACTTGAGCAACTCTCAAGCTAATCCAGTCCACCCTTCCAAGGTGATTTCGCCTTAACCAATTAAGGACTTAATCCACTATAACCGAACTGATTACAGATGCACAAGCTAACTGCAAGTGACTAACAACTTGACAATGACACGTTCAGGGATCCCCAAGGATATAACGTTCATTTACACCTTAATAGAATCCGATCACTAAAGATCTCCTATTAGGATTTTCAAAAATGACTACTGTCACTTGTCATCTCAAGTATACTGATCTTCACTAGATCACTTGAGGAACCACTAATTCTAAAATAGAATTTTTGTGTTGCCAGAGATTACAATGGTGCTTCCTAGCAAGCTAATAACTCCAAGTTTAGCACATAGCAAGTAATGAGCAACAACTCCTTGCTTCCTAATACAAAAACTAATTCTAATAATAACTCTCTAAGAGATTATTAAAACATAGCTTCTATATTGCTTAAAAGCTTTTCTGTAAGTGAGCACTAAGGCTTCTTTTCCATTAAGCTTTTCTTTTCTTTGCAGCAGTAGCGCAACAGCGCAAGAGCCAACAATTCTAGCAATCAGCCACTTCAACAACATTTGAATAAACAAATGATTCTTCCTTTTATAGTGCTTCCAAGAATGACGTTGTAAGGATAGAAAAGTCCTTTCTATTTCCAACGGTCATATTCCAACGGATAGAATGAGCACGTGTTGGATGACATCACTTTCTTGTCCTTTTCCATAAGCACATGATTTATCAGATTTGAACAGCAACAACTTATCTGATGTAACATGTCTTGCATCTGGATGAATCTTCTTCTGACATAATATTCCACTTCAGAATCCAGTCTTCAGCATTCCAAGAACTAAGTTTCCTCTGAAACAATCTTGAGAATCTTCATGACTAATTCTTCAGAAACCATGTCTTCAGAATCTTCGGAGCCTTGACCTTCAGAGCACTTCTTCAGAGTCTTGACCTTCAGAACACTTCTTCAGAGTCTTGTCCTTCAGAACCTGTCTTCAGAGTCTTGACCTTTAGAGCCTGTCTTCAGAGTCTTGACCTTCAGAACCAGTCTTCAGAGTCTTGACGCACTTGGTCTTTAGAGCCTTCAGCCTTCAGAACTTCAAGTCATCAGAGTCTTCAGAGTCTTGACATTCAGAACCAGTCTTCAAAGTTGCTCGTTAGCTTCCAGATCAGATGCATAACTCAGATCAGAATCTATAGATGCATTGCAACTGCAATATCCAGCATCCTTGATTCTTTACTGAACATGATCAGATGTAGAAACAAACTTGCTTCTTCACTGAGCTTTATTTGCTTTCAGATCAGATGCACTTCTTCAGAGCAGAAACCATAGGAGCATTGCAACTGCAATATCCAGCACCCTTGGTTCTTTACTGATGGTGATCAGATGCATAAGCAAACTAGCTTCTCACATGCGCTTCATGACGTCACACTAAGTAACTCCAAAGTTACTAGTTGCACACGTTGCTTCTGTTTGTTTGGTCTAATATATTTAATTTAATATGACCTGCACATAACAAACATTAAACCATAAACTGGTTCTTTCACAAATACTCAATTGTTATCATCAAAACATAGAGATTATCCTGTAGAGACAAATCTTGCTCTTACACAACCCTTCTGAAAAGCCAGTCAAATCCTTGATACTATTTCTGATGTTATCCTCAACATTTCCAAAAAAAACACCTTGCACTTGCTGGGATTTATATCTAAACATGTTGAGGTTGAGAAATCCTTGAAGGCTTGCATCATAAGGTCAACTAATATAGTATCTCCCCTAGCAAAAAGTAAGTGGTCATCAACAAAGCTAACCTTAATAATGCTCATTTTTTCACATTTAGAGCGAAAGTTATAATTGTGGTTCAACTTCAGTCTCTGCATCCTCCTATGGAGGTACTCCATAACAATGACAAAAAGGCAGGGGGAGAGAGGTTCATCTTGCCTAATCTCCCTTTTGGCTTTGAGAATTCTAGTGGTTTCACCATTCACTTTGTATATGTAGGAAACAGTTGTCACAATTGTCATAATCTACTTAATGAACTTATCAGGAAAGCTCATATATTTCATTATGGCCATAATGTCATAGGCTTTTTACAATTCCATTTGGACCATACACCTGGGATGACCCCCTTTTATGTTGTAACCCTTAATAAGCTAGGCTAACATGATGTGGTCATGAATATCCTTGCTAGGAACAAAGGCAGCTTAGTTCTCATTAACAATACTACCCAAGACTTTGCTCAGTATGGCTACCAAGATCTTAGAAATGATCTTGTAGAGAGTAGAGAAACATGATATATGCCTAAAGTCCTTTATCCTATTAGCATTGTTGTTCTTGGGGATTAAGGTGACCAAGGTACAGTTTATGGCTCTCAACATGATATTCTTTTTAAATAATTCTCTAACTGCCTTCAACATATCATCTTTGATAGTGTTCCAAGTGGCCTTAAAGAACATGGACCCATAACCATCAATGCCTGGAGCAGTGTTGTCACTAATTCCATTTAAAGCAATCTTCACTTCTTTCTTAGTGACATGATCCAGCAGGGCTAATCTTTGAGCATCATTAATTGAGGGCCATTCCTCATATGAACAATGTATATGTTGTTCAGAACTTAAGCATATTTGCCAACTAGCTCACCATAGAAATTTAACACTTCCTCTTCAAGCTGATGTTGCTCAGTCATAATTGTCCCCTCATTAGTGGTAAGGGTTTTAATTTGGCTCATGAGGTTTTTTCTCTTCAAGGAGGCATGGAAGAAGGCATTGTTACCATCTCCTAGCCTAATCCAATTGATTTTGGCTATTTGGATAATAAATTTATCCTTTATATTATTTTACTTGATCACCTCTTCAAAGAGAACTTTAGTATTCTCTATCAGCTCTTCATTCATCCTATCTTGCACCAGCAGGTCCTGAGCCATTTTCAACTTGTTTCTAGCTGCTTCAATTTGTTCCTTTATGCCTTTGAAACTCTTTCTTTTATCCCTAATGATAGTTTTGAGATTGTGGAGTTTTCTCCATATTATATACATGGCAGTCCCATTCACATTATTATCCCATCTCTCTCTAATAGCTTCTTAAAAACCCTCTATGTTAATAACAACATTTTGAAATCTGAAGTAGGATTTTCTAGGCTGGGTCAAAACTTTCCCCTTTAGACACAACAAGGAGTGATCAGACAACTCTGGATCCACTTTAGATTTCCATTGTTTGAAAGTTGTTGGCCTCTCATTGTTGCAAGAATGACCTATTTTCTTACACTTCTCACAATATTTCGGCTTCCACTTATATTCAACCCTTTGGCTTAGTTTCCTTCCCTCAATATCCTTGATTGTGATTGAATCTTTAAGCTTTGGGTGATATCAGTTTCCACAAGGATCCTAGCATATGACACCTTCAATATTTTAGCGGTGCATTCATCTATGAAAGGAAGTTTACCAATGACACTTCCTATTTTGCTTAGGCTCCTTGCTCCCCACAATGCAGAGGCAACTGAGGGAGTTTCACCCAAATGGGCATCGTGCACAACATGTCTCTCTTGAAATCAAACTCCGGGCTCCACTCTTTCAGGACCATAAGGGGATTTCGAATAGTGAATATACCTCTCATAAGTACCATGTCACGTTCTCTGAACGAGTGGAATTTCAATAAGAAATAACCTTTCTCATGATAGAAAATATTGGAGAGTTTCACAAAGTTCCAAAACTTGCTCATAAAATTCTTCACTGCGTTAATGCTTAACTCCCGACCTAAAGCGTACATGATCAACGCAGATTCCAAATACTTCACCTCAGATTCCACATCCGAATCTTCTATATCCACTTCAATTTCCCCTTCCACCACTTTGGGGGCTACAAATTCTATGGCCATACCATTCGAGGTCATTCTATTAGCGCTTATTACATCTGCTTAATGCTTTTTTGTATGCTCTTATTCATTCTTCTGTTGATTCTTAGAGCTCGATATTTCATTCTCAGGGGCGGGTGAAACCCTTTTTTCTTCCACTTCCATTTCTTGTTTTTCATGTAGACTACTTTTAACATTGTGTGACGTGCTTCCACTCTCCGTTCCTTTCTCCAGCTCCAGAGTACGAGCCAAAGGAGACAACACATTTTTCTCCTTCGACCGTCCACTCCCCCTCCCCATACTCTAACTTCTCAACACTCTTCTATAAGATTCCTACGATGTTGGTCTATATTCCTAGGAAAAAGACTTTAAACCACCATCAGAGGATAGATCTCACTGTGAGCAACCCTTGAATCTGGAAAGATGTAGATTTTGTATTGCAACCACCGTGTCGGTTTTTCAATTACCGTCCAGAAATCGTACCAGAAATCGCACCTAAGTTTTTTCTTTTTAAAATAGTTCATTTTAAAAATATATGTTTTAACTTTTTACCATATTCTCTAAATAATATTCACAATTTATAATATTAATTATGATACTAATCAATCATTAATATTGTTTTTTGAATAATTGTTTAATACTTTTTTCTATAACTTTTTAGTTTTTAAATTATATTTTTGATATTATTTATAAAAGATAATTTTATAAAATGACTTTTAATTTTTTTTCATAAAAAATTAACTACGCGTAAAAAAATTTAAAATTTAAAAAGTTAAATTTTTTTATAATTATTTGATACTATAAAAATGAAAGAGATAGCCACACGTGTGACCAATAAGAAGCTATGAGGTAAAACTTTCACTGTTTTATTTCCACAATGATTATAATATGAAATTCTCTAATTGTCCTTAAGTTCCCTCGTGGCTTCTAGAAAGCTGTGGAACACCATCTTTATCGTACATCCAAATGCAGCAGAACACTTTTTTTTTCTTTTATAAAAAAAGCACCATAACAGTAACACAATGTTCTCTCCGTCGGTTTGTGTTCAACAAAAGACATTGTACATAAAATTTTAAAATCGCCTATTTTCATCATCTTAAAATAAATATTTAAATCAAAAGAATTTAGATTTTATCCTCGTATAATTTAACTTTATTTAATAAAATTAGTTTATACAATTAGGAGTGATATCATTAACTTTTACCGTATCGAATGCTTTAGTTTTATTGATTTTTTTATATATAATTTTTTTTAATTATATTTGAATGAGATCCTTCTTTATTCAAGAGTAACTCTTGTTAGAGCCAGCTCTTATATTTTTTATATGCACTAAAATTTATTAATAAATTGATAAAGTTTATAGAATAGAGTGGGTAGGGTAGCTCAAATTATATATGATAATGGATTAAATAATTATAATACATCCATTCAGAGTTTATTTATATTTATATATTATTGTAAACAAAATGTTAATATTTATAAATTAATAATTTTAATTTTTAATAATATAAATTAAATATTTAAAATTTTATAAATTATAAATATTTAATAATTTAGAAATTTGTTTTAATATATAAATATTTTATTAACACAAATAAACTATTGACTAACAAAAAAAATTATAAAATAATTTTGTTTAAATTTTGCCAAGAAAATAATTATAAGTAACTGTTTAAATATCAAATTATAAAAAGGATAAAATTTTAGATATAGGTGTGATTTTTACTAATTTTTAATAAAAATATGACATTTGTATTGAAAATAGGAGAGAATTTTATATGCACAGAAGAAAATTATATAATTATTATATTTTTATTGGAAAATAATAAAAACTATACGTAAAAAGTTGTTTTTTTCTTCTGTAAATACATATTATGTTAATTTTTTCAAACTATTAGGATAATAATATTGCAAACTCTAACTAACCCAAAATTATCCAGAATGATTAAAAAAAATATATTTAAAGAGAATCCCATTGTACTTCATGCTCATGTAATGCTTCCTTTAATTAACTACATGATCACAAAAAACAAAATAATAATTGATCCTCTCATGACAACTACTAAAAAAAATAATTATTAAATTAATTAATTTAATGTAGTACTATATATTAATATCACAGGGTGTCACCTATATGTTAGCTGGCCACTCATTTTTATATTCATATATTTTATTTTATTTTCTTTTCTCATTTTCATCTTCCTTCAACTTTCTCTTACAACTTCAAGAGAGAATCAATTCCTCATCATTGGAATTGTTTACTCTCTCAATTCCTAGCTTCTCATTGTTTTCCACAAAATAAAAATTACTTTTTTTTCTTTTCTTGGTTGAATTATGGTGAAAATCTCTTATAGACCCATCATAGTTTTTAGCCACATTTTGTTTTAAAGATCCTTGCTTTGAGGTCTGGCTAGTTTAATTTTTGTTGGGTTGGATTTGTTTTCATTGATTCTTCTGCCAAAAAAAAGTTTCAATTTTTGTTTTTTTCTCTCTCTCTCTCTCTCTCTCTCTCTCTCTCTCTCTTGTGATGGTGGACTTGTGGAATGCTTCGGTCAGAGGTTTCTGTAACATGTTCTAGCAGCCTTTTGGTGAATTGGGTCGGTGAATTTCCTGTCAAGTTTTGTAGAGAATCTGTGTTCTCAGAGATCTAACCCTTTCTCTCTCTCTCTCTCTATCTATCTTTTTCTCTCTCTCTCTCATAGTTCTTAGTTCTTACCTCTTTTGTTGCATAGCTGTGAAAGTGAAAGAAGATGATGAGGATGAGGAATAATCATAATCATAGTAATAAGACAAATGGTGTCTCTTCACCTATAACCTCAGGTGGTTGCAGAACTGAACCCGGTTCAAGGGATTGGGAGATGAGGCCAGGTGGAATGTTGGTTCAAACTAGAACCAGTAACATAGATCAAAACCCGGTTTTGGTTCCCACTATTAGAGTTAGGGTCAAGTTTGGTTCAGTTTATCATGAACTCAACATTAGCTCACAAGCCACATTTGGTAAATTTTTTCACTTTTTAAAAAGTATTTTTATATATTTAAATCATTTTGGAGTTTCCAATTTCTGGTTAATCAGAATTCGAATTTCAATTCTGATTAATCAGAATTGGAAGTTAGAGTCTCCAGAATGTTTCTTTTTATGTTTACTTAATTTATTGTTTTTGTGTTGAAGGGGATTTGAAGAAAATGTTGACAGGACCAACTGGATTACATCATCAAGATCAAAAGTTGTTTTACAAAGACAAAGAAAGAGATTCAAAGGCTTTTCTTGACATAGTTGGTGTAAAGGACAAATCAAAGTTAGTGCTAGTGGAAGATCCTATAAGTCAAGAGAAAAGGATTTTGGAGATAAGAAAGAATGCTAAGATGGAGAAAGCTGCAAAATCTATCTCACAAATCAGCTTGGAAGTCGATAGACTTGCTGGACGGGTACGTGTTTATGCTCGAGTAATTCATCATTTTAGTCTCGAAATTATATATACTATGAAACATTGACACAAATATCTAACACAAAGACATTTGTCTTAGTAAATTAGTATCAATTTAGTTTTAAAATTATGAGTTATATGTAGATATACTATAAAACATTGACACAGATATCAAATATAAAGTTTGAAATTCGGCCTATTGCATTAGTCCTTCTTAGACAATAAGTTTGATGGAAGATTTTAACATCAATTTTGATGTCAAAATTTGAGAATCACTATTTTTTTTCCATGTTGAAATTGAAATAATTATGAGTGAGGTTGGTTTGTATTAAATGCTTGAGTAGTAGTTGAGAATCGAGAAGTAATTAGTTATTGGAATTGATTAGGTATCTGCTTTTGAATCAATAATTAGCAAAGGTGGGAAAGTTGTAGAATCAGATGTGATTGGTCTTATTGAGCTATTGATGAATCAATTGCTTAAATTAGATACTATAATTGCTGATGGAGATATCAAATTGCAAAGAAAAATGCAGGTATTTTTCATGCATCTTGCAATTTAACTTGTCTTTTTATTTTATTTATTTTGTTTACACTACCTTCATTTTATTTCAAAATGATTGTGGTTAAAAGTTTTTACAAATATATTAAAAAATGTAATGATATTGTCGTAAGATATTTTATTTTTACTAAATTAATTTTATTGTTGTATTAGTATAAATAGTAATAATTAAATTATGTAATTGAAAAAACAATTATTATTTCTACATTAAAAAATAAAAATGACATTCATTTTAAAATAAATTTTATTTTCTAAAATAACAATCATTTTAAAACGAATTAAGAAATAATAATTTTGACCCTTTTGAGCATATAAAACATTATGATTATTGAATGTATTAAAATTACAAAGCCTACTACTCCATTTGGTTCCTTAAAAAAATATATTTTTTAATTTTATTAAATAATTAATATATCTGATGAATATATTTTTCAAATATATTAATTATTTAATGTATAATTATTTTTCTTAAAATCAGAAAAGTAACAAATAATAGAAGACACATATTCAAAATTATTTTTGAAAATTATTTTTAAAAAGTATAATAATGTTGTCTTACATATTGAGAGATCAAAATGAATTTTTATTAGTCTATTTCTATTTATTTAGTATTTATCGAATTTCATTGATTTTAAAATTTGAAATTTTTTTAAAGGTAAGAAGAGTTCAAAAGTATGTTGAAACATTGGATATGCTAAAAGTTAAGAATTCTACAACAAATGGCAATGATGTTCAATCTAAAATTCAACCTCAAGAAAAGCATTCAAATGGGAAAAGATTGGAAACAATTCAAGAGCAACAACAACAAGAACAACCTAGAAAAACCTCAAATGATGTTTCACTAATATTTGAAGAACAACAACCACCTTCAGGAGTTGTAGTTACTACAAAATGGGAGACATTTGAATTTGATTCTACCCCACCATTAATCACATTTCCATCTACATCTACAACTACTCCTTCAATGCACAACAATTCAGGTCCACCTAAGTTCAATTGGGAATTCTTTGAGTGATAAGTTGCAATACCACATATGTTTGAAATTTGTGTGGATGTTATTGAGTTTGTATTCCACTTGGAGTGTTATATGTTTTACATTCTTTGTGTATTTAGATTTGTTTAGCAACCCCTATATAATCTGTCATTTACTTGAGAAATAAACGGGGTTGCTATGATAGTGAGTATCATAAAAAAAGTTACTTTTATGTGATTATGTCATTGTGTCCTCCAAATTCATTTACCTAATGTTTGGATCTATTTTTGATGGATATATAAAATTGTGTGTATTTATAGTTTTGTAAAGAGGAAGTTAGATCTTAATTGATCTAAAGAGACATGTGCTTCTTAGTAATTGACAAAAGGTGTTAAAGTTTGTCAAATTTTTGTATGGATTAAAACAAACACCGAACAATAACATCAAAAGTTTGACTTTGTTGTTGCAATATTCACAATTAATCAGGAAACATACAACTTAAGGGGGAATTTTTCAATCATTATCAAAATATAAATTTAAATATTCTGTCATCATAAAAAAGGGGAGACTGTGAAGAATACATCTTATATCTAGTTTAGTTTTGAAGAAGACAAATTCAAAGAAGAAAAGGATCAAAAGTGTCATTCGCATCAACGATGAGGTTGATCAAGAAGGTTGAACATAGAAATTCAAGTGAAGATTTAAGATAAGTGAACATGACTAAGGGGCTCATTGCATTTTATACTATACTACTTTGAATTTCTCATAATTTCATCTTTTACTTCATCTAAAAATCTTCTAGCATCTTCGTGCATGATTATCTAAAATCTTTTTTCATTTAATTCTTGTGACAAGTATTTGTACAAAAACTTGTGTGAGAACATTGTGATATTCCTTTGTCTCTATGTTGATTACATATTGATCATTAACAATGAGATGCATGGAATTTTAGAAACAAAGAGGTTTTTAACTTTCACATTCAAGATGAATGATCTTGGACTAGTTGACACACTTTTGGGGATCAAAGTAAAGCGAAATAGTGGAGGTTATGAATTTATTAAAATACATTATGTTGAGAAAGTACTTGATAAGTTCACACTTACATTTCAAGAAACTGATTACTCAATTTTATCCTAGTGTCAAACTTCAAAATAATAATGGAAGAGTTGTGTCTCAATTGGATTATGCAAGTGCATGCAATGTACTAGACCCAACATAGCATTTGCAATTAGTAAAATGAGTAGACTTTACTAGCAATCCAAATGGTGAGCACTAGAAGGCCATCATTAGGATTTTCAGCTATCTTATAAAAACCAAAAATCTTGGTCTCCATTATGGTAGATTTCTTGCCATATTAGAAGGATATATACCAATGGTAGTTAGATATCGAGTGTTGAATATCATAAATCTGCATTTGAATTAATATTTACACTAACCAGGGTGCAATTTATTGGAAGTGCAAGAAATAAATTTGGATCACTCTCTCAACCATAGAATCAGAATACAATGCTCTAACTTCCAATGGTAAAAAAGCTGAATGGTTGAGGGGTATTTTGTTGGAAATTCCATTGTCTAAAGACAATGTTTCAAAGGTGTTGATATTATATGGTAGTGACGCCACTTTGTCGCTACTGCGAAAATAAGGTGCCAGAAAAACAGAAGAGTCGCCACCTTTCGTTATTTATCCCTCAGAACAGGAAAGGAAACGATCGGGAAAAACCTGACGAAAAGGTATAAGACAAGGTCATCGCAACCATTATCTGGGTTCGGGAGTCGGTTATGCAAGGGGAAGGTATTAACACCCCTCACGTCCATCGTACTCGATGGGATCCACACTTGCTGTTTTGTCTACGGGTGAAAAATAATCTATCTACGGCTGCTAAAGCTAAACGGGAAGAAACTGACTCGATAGAGCATCGCACTCTATGCCTACGTATTTCCTCGTGCAATGGGAAAATCAGAGTCAACATAGTTCGGGAAACTACGGGGAGGTTGCTCGCCAAGATATCGCATCTCGTGCCTACGTACTTTCACACGGCGTGAAAGATTAGAGCAAACGTAGTTCGGGCTAACTACGGCTAGACAGGGTGTTCTTGATCACCCAGGGGTGAGAGAAAGGATTGACAATACTAGCGTATGCATTCTAGCAGTTAGGTGTATGATACTCGCTCGACGGAGACTTAGGCGTTACCTGTTTGCGGTAGAACAGACATAGTATGTCGGGTTTTAAAAGTATGGGAACCTACGGGTTCTAGAACTACGGTCTGGTCTCAATTGCGCTCGGGCAAGAGAAAGGGAACATCAGTCTTTAGCGGGAATGTCTCGATCGCACAACAGCGAGAGAACAGAGACGTTAGTTGTTAGTGTGCTCGCTAGGATATCGCATCCTATGCCTACATATTCTCGTCTGGTACGAGAAATCAGAGCAGCTGTAGTTCAACCAACTACAGCAAATGGGGAAAAGGGAGAAAGGGAGCTCACTAGGATATCGCATCCTATGCCAACGTACTCTCGTCTGGTACGAGAGATCAGAGCAAACGTAGTTCGGCGCTACAGGAAAGTAATTCTCGATTGCACGGGGGCAAGAGAAGGGGTCTCAATCGCCTGAATGCGAGAGAAAAGGGTTTCGATCGCACGAGGGCGAGAACAAAGAGGAAGCAGGCTCACGCCTAAACGGGAAGGAACTCGGGACACACACGTAAGAACCTAAAGCGTGGGAGCGAATGCGTCGCATGTCACCCAAAGGGTACCATACTAGACACTCTAGACGATTGAGAGGAAACCCCTCAACTGTTATTTCCTACGTATCTAACGATACAGCTCACAACACTTGACGGTTGCACGAAGACTTGAATAAGAAAGACGATGTTGAACGAAACGGCTCCGTGGGCTCCTGACATGTGCGCAAGCTCCATTCCAATCTTTTCCTCTCTGGATCCTTGATGAGGACGCTCGAATCAGGACCAATATAACGCTTAGACCGTCATGGTTCGACTTATACGCGAAATCAAACTCTAAGAGGTAGCGTATTGATATCCGTGTCAAAGACAAGATAGAGAAATGATATCGAAAATCATTCTCCAATTGAATCATGTCACACGGCCAACCAAAAAATAAAATCAAAGCAATCGGATAAGAAAAGAAATGAGGAGAGAAAATAGGAGAGAAATTCACTACCAAACGGAAATAATATGCTACTCCTAAAATACAGCAATTAATTTCTAATAGAAAACATTCTAAAGAAATATAAAGGAACTGCATATAAAAAATAGCATATGAATTCTATCCTAACTCCATAATTCTATAAAGGAAAAAGGGAATATAAAAATTCTATATTAAAATCTATGGTAAAAAAATGCTAAGAAAATAATATTCTAGGAAAATAAAACTATAATCCTAAAAGAAAAAAATAGAGAAATAAAATCTACAATTATTACAAGCACATGTCCAATACAAGAGAATTTTAAAAAATGTAAGGGGAGGGGGGTACAACTTGAAAACTGGGGTGAAATGCAGTAAAAAAACCACTGGGTCTAGCCCACAATACAGCCAGAAAAAAAACAAACAAAAAACCCATGCAACCAAGGGGGGTGCGCCTCAGAAAAGGGATTGGGCCCAAAGGGAGAAAGCCCATGAAGCCCTTTCCTCTTCCACTCACTCTCTCCTTTCACTCTCTCCTGAAACCCTAGTTCTCTTCTCTCCCTCACTAGCCGCCGCTGATGAGCAAAAACTCCCTTCTTCCCCAAATCAGCTTCACCTTAAAACGAAATCGAAAACAAACGCTTCCCCAAACAACTCTTCTATTCCGCTTCACCTTAATCCTCTAAATTGTTTGACGTTATTGGAGAATATGAAACGGATCTGGGATGAAGATCTGTGAGGTTTTGTTGATGTGGAGAGAAGTTCGTTCGCGGTTGTTTGTGAAGGAGTTAGATTCGAGACCTAGATAAGCTTGTTCGTCAAAAAAAGTGAAGATGAAGAATCTTGGAAGAATCTGGAGTTTGATATGAAGTTGCGATGAACTTTGAAGACGTTGATCCATGGAGTTCGTAAGGCTTGTTGGTGATTTCGACAGGTGGAAATCAGAGGTGAGTGATGATGGTGCTCATGGCGATTTGGTGGTGAATCTTTAGATCCAGGTCGATCCATGAAGATCTTTAAATCTCTGTTGAAGGTTGATGAGTTCTTGAAGAACGGATGAACACTGATGAACCTCTGGTGAGATTCGAGCAAACATTGGAGTTTCCGGAAAATTATTGATGATCGGATGAACTTCGTGAAAAATCTTGATGAACGATTGAGTGTTTATCTGGAAACCGGTGAAGATTCGATGGAGATCTGGTGACGATCTTGAAGAGAACCTGGACATTGTTGACAGTGAAGATCTGGTGACGATCTTGAATAATGAAGATTGGTACTGAACATTGATGAATTCTGGAAACACGGTGAGGTTCCGGCAAGATTTCCGGTGGGTTCATCCGAGTTTAATTTCTCGGGTGAGGCGTCGTCGGTGTTTGCATGTGGTGGCTGAGGGGGTGACACCTAGGGGGTTATGTGGCAGCGTCTGGTGAGGAGGAGTGATGAGGTGTCGACGGGTGGCACCATGCAGAGGAAGACGTGGCAAGAGAGAATGGGGTAGTGGAGATGATGTGTCAACCATTGGGAGTGTGGAGAGTGGATAGGTGGCACGCATGCAGAAGATATGTGGATGATGTGGCCAGAGAGAGAGTGAAGCGTGTGGAAGCTTCTTATAGTGACATGTGGCAAGATTTGGACTGGTGGGCCTCCAAAATTGGACACTTGGCCCACCGAAAATGACAATTAATGGATTAAAAAAACTGATATTAAAGCTAAATCAATGAGGATTAAGACTAATAGACTCTACTAAAAACTAATTAACTGCACCTAATGATTAAAACCTAATTAAAAACTCAATTAAACTCTAATTAAAATTGATGTAATTAATTCCTAAACTAATGATGATTGATACCCTAATTAAAAATCTCAATTAATTTGTTAAACGAAAATCAATATTAATTGAT